ACAAACCCCAAAGTGCCTCCACCCCCCCCTCCATCGCCCTCTGTGACTGCTCGATTCCATTGACAAAAATTCCCAGAGGTAAGTCCTCTGTGACACCCCGGGCGAGAGGTGAGAGTCACTTAAGCCGCAAGCCAATCAAAGCCGCCTGTGTATTTAACATCCCGACTCATCTCCATTCAAAAACACACACACACACACACACACAGTTATTCATGCACGAGTGTGGACTCAAATTGACACAAACACACACACACACACGTCCAGGCTTCTCAGGATTCTTCCGTGCACCCAAACTAATGACAAGCCATAAGCACCTCTCTCGTTCAGCCTAGCGCGAAGACATCCAGCCGGCGCGAGTGTGTGTGAGTCTGAGAGTGCACGTGTGTGTGTGTTTGTGCGAAAGAGAGAGAGAGGGACACACAGAGACAGAGAAAGAGAGAGAGAGAGAGAGAGAGAGAGGGCGAGCCGTTGATGATCAGAGCCGCTGGTTAGTCTTGCATGCCGATCCAAACTCCTCCCGTTTTCCTCTGGCCAGATACATCCGCATTCCCTTCTCTTCCCAGCTCATCTGTGGCGGCGGCGAACACAACAGCGGAGCCGGGAGAGACGGGAGGCACACACACCAACACACACATGCTCGCACTGAGAGGAGAGAGAGCGGGGCCGGGGGGGAGGGGGAGGAGGGGGGAGAGAGAAGACTCTCCTCCTTTTTGCTCTCTCTGATTGAATATTTCCTTCTTCACCGCCACCTTCCCTCTTCTCATTTGTCTCTCAGTCTTTCATATTTCCACATCTCGTTCGTCACCACAGACGGAGAGATGGATGGATGGATGGAAAGCGGGAGGCTGTCGGAGAGACAGCTAGTAGAGGGGGAAACAGCCGGGGTTGCTTGGTCGGGGGCGGGGGTATGTCATGGGAAGTGAAGCAGAAGCAGAGATGGAGGAGTAACGGAGGTTGAAGGGAGGGACGAAGACAACAATATGATAAGAAAACAACAATATGTGAATAAGTGTGGTCACACAAAGGAAAGTAATTCAGACACAGAACATCACATTCAAGAGAGAAATAGAACTGAACAATGCTGGATTTTTTGTTTTGTTTTTAAAAACACAAACTTGTTTGATAAGGATCCCTTAAATTAGAGGATCGTAACCAAGCAGACGTTTTTTGTCCAAAACACCAACAGCAAACATAGAAGGGAAAAATGAAACAGGGAATATTTAATTTGTATCAGTAACATATGAACAACAAGAGATAAGATAAATAACACTAAAATATATACGGATAACTGTACATAACCACTTACCCCATTTTAATAAAGTATCAACGAGTCAGCATTTATTCCAGCACCCTTGCACTACTGTACTTTTGCTTACACAAGTAGTTTTACTTCTTTATATACATCTTATGTCGTTATTCATTGTGGCTTTTTATATAAACATGTACTTGTATGTGCATATACATTTTTTTATCACCAATCAATAATTCATCTTCACACCTTAAACTAACGTCACACGTTAGCTAGCCTATGCTAGTTATCAGAATGGATAGATAACGTTAGTTAGATAAATAAATAGATCATTAGTTTAGTAACTTAGTATCTAGTTAGCTAGTTAGCTTTCTTAGCCGTACAGAACTTTACAAAGATGGTATTCTTACGATTAAAATATGTTCCCTGGGTTAAAAGTTGACTTCGTCTTCATAGGGGTCGAAATATTACCGTCAGTCACCATTAATTGCAATTAATTAGCGTTAAGTGGAGCTCACCTGTTGCGTTGTGTAACTCACAGTCCTGCTTCCGGTTGGTGCCGCCGACCCGTAGTTTTAATCCTCCTCTTCATCATTTTGAAAACAAATTCATCCTTTAATGGTGCATTGGGAAGGACTCTTACAAAGTAATTCGGTAAACGTAATACAGACAATCTTTCATGAGCTTGTATCCGCTTCAGACCGTCCACCTGCACGTCTCCGGTTAAAAAACAAACCGGAAGTGATTTGTTTTGGTACAGAATAAAAGCAAATTAAATAGAAAACACTAAGGATAGAAATAAATAAACCTCACAACAAACCTGAGCAACATGATGAATGATAAGCAAGAATATATATAATTCAATCTCCATCTAACGTCTGTGTTTAACTTAACAAGAGTCCAAATTTGGGAAATGGTTTAACAATTTGATTCAGTGTGAAACTCGTGTAATGTCTGTGACTTCTTTGGGGGTTTCATCGGTACTGTACATCTGCTTACACATGATAGTAGAGGCTATGTTTAATTTGAATCTTGGGGTAATTTCGGCATTTTGCAACAATACAGAAACCATAATTAAAAGTAAAGAATGACTGATGAGTATTGTATTTTTATTCTTCGCCAAATACACGCTCATTTACACGCGCACACACACTGTCAGTCGATCACAGTCTTTCTCGCAAATTAAATTTGCTGTGGTCTCAGACAGCTGCAGGGTTTGCTGGTTCCTTAACAACTTAATTAAGCCAATCTCCCCTTTTTCCACCGAGGTAATGAGCGTAGTTTTACACGGATTAAACCGTCTCCGGGGTTGAAAATAAGGCTTTATACTTTAGCAATCTTATCTGCCTTTATCTGTCCAGCCAGTTTTCCAGCCACGAGATTAGTTTCGGCGGGAGTCCTGTTAGCCGTATCATATTTCTCTCTTTTTAATTTGCAAGGTATTAATGCAAAAACACTTATTTTAAACCCTCTGTAATACCAGTCTGAATTTAAAGGCTTACATATTAAAAACAAATCTAAACAAGGAGATGGCAAATTAATGGAAACCCCAAGAGTTTCTTAATAAGCCTACAATACACTGCCGGAGTCACAGTCTTGGCATAGATCCCATTCTGTTGAACTCTTGCATTAAATATTCCTGGTTTGATGATAACGTCCAACACGTTGCTGGGAAATCTCCCATCGATGTGAAGTTGTGTTGATATCTGGTCACTGTGAAGGCCAAAGCAAATTATTCACATCATTTTAATATCCATCAAACCGTTTCAATGACCCATCCTGCCCTGTGAGAAGAGGCATCTGTGTCTGCTTTGTTTCTCCACTCATCAGTGATTTTCCTTTAATGAGTCACCCATCTGAGGCTTTGTACACTGCAGCCTGCGTCAATACATGCACAGTATATTATACCTACAGAATAGAATGCAGTAAGGAAACTGCAATGCTTGAATAAAAACTTGAATATAATAATACATTTTCACTATTTCTTTATCGTGTTTCTTCTAATTTCAAGGTTCAAAGTTCCTTCTTGATCTTCGAAACCGCAGTTGACAAACCAGCCTCACTTCAAGGTTAATTTAATAGCTGTTCTGGAGCTTTCAATCATATCACATGTCCTTTATCGGAGGATTGTAGCTGTTTTAGATGTTTAATAAATTCTAATTCTTCTGACCACTTTAACTTTGACTTACTTGTCCACTTTGGCTTAAAAATGTAATGTTAATTCTTTAACTTTCTAAACATGAATTAATTATGATCAAAAAGTTCCAGAGCAAGTAATCCGACCTTTAAGTTGGGTAGTTTTGACAACCGTTGAACCTCAAAACTCATTTGAACACATAAGATTCAATGACAACTGAGCAAATTCCATCTGCTGATGAAGATCAGGTGAAATGATCTAAAGCTCCAGAATAGAATTGACCCTGAGGTGAGATTGTTTTGTGAACCAATATTTCTCCTATACTTTATCAATTTACCAGGTTTTTTTTTTATCCAACACCTATTTGCCAGAACGATATAAGGCTACATTACACTACACCTGTTATTGGTCCAATTGTTATGAGCGTAAATAACATTCCATGTTTGTTAGTGTCAGTTTTGATGAATGGGCCGTGTTGCCTGTATTTCATAGCTTCTATTGTAACAAACTAAAAGCAGGTTTGATTCTTATAGGTTAGTTCGTCATTTCCCCCCATCGTGAGTGAAGAACCACAAAACACTAGCAGCTGAAAAGACTGTTGTTGGATATTTCAGGGGTCTTTATCCAAATCTCAGAGAGTTAACAGTACTTTACATCAGAGATGAGAAAGCTATATTTCCTCTTAGGACTCTAAACCAGACTTTTTTTTAAAAATCTTACATTTTTTGGGGGTCAGTGGGAACTTCTTATACTATGCATGGCAAGACGGAAAGAGTAATTACCCTTTCGGGCCATCTTAATGGATTATGAAAAAGAATAAGCCCTTACAAGAGAGATAATTTGGATGCGTAAGCAGCTACCAGAGTTGGCGAGACTGGGCCCAGTTGATTGTTACCTCTGGCGAGAGCCGATTGAAGTTGAAGGACAAATTATTCCAGACGTGTGCGAGCAGTAGCTGCGGACTTGCTGGAATCGACCACCTCCCCATTTGTGAAGGTCTTAATTGGTTGATGTGCAGATAAAGGAAGGAGCAACCTCTGCACACACACACACACACACACACACACACACACACAAAGACGGATAGTTTCAAAGAGCCTTGTTCTGGTCAGATTAAGTTTCCTTCCAATTAAGAGTTTTATCATCAGGTCTCTTAACTGGGTGTTCGATGTCTCTTGAACTTGACTAATGATGTCCACGGAACTGAACTGCCGAGGGCGCTAGATGCTAATGCTACCCTGCTGCTGGCATCAACACTAATGTGACGTAGACAACATATACACATACATATACTAATACTTTTGCACTTCTGTTAGATGCTAAACTGCATTTTGTTGTCTCTGTACTTTTACTCTACAATAACAATTTAGTTGTATCTAATCTAATGGCCAGAATGAGGGCAGCTCCATGAGTCATTTCTCTGTCTGCGATTGCTTCATTTGAAGTAGTTTCAGAGGCCTGAGGGGAGACAGTATCAGCATTCCTCATTAAATAAAAAAAGATTAAAGACAATTTAGAAAAGAAATGAAGATAATTTTGTGTAACATTACTTTTCATCATCGTCCCTTTAGTTATCTAGTGCACTGGTTGTGAGGTGTTTAGAGGGAATAGGGAAGCAGAAAAACATATTTTTATTGTTTTTTCATTATGTTTATTTGCTGCAGATGAATTTCATCCAATCTTAAATCTTGTGGATTCCTGGATACCTTTCGTCTTGGCCTCTACAGAAGTAGACACAGCTTTGTTTTCAGGGTTCACAAGTCAATAAAGTGCTAAGATGTATTTGGGACCCCCTGTGATCTATCCTGTGCACAGTGCAGTCTTTAAGTACTTAGACAGTGACACAGTTTTGTTCCGTGTACTGCAGTACACTGAAATCAATCCGTGGCTGTGAGGTTACAGGTCTGATTTTCAGTTTACATTCAAGGGAGTTCAAATCAATACATAAATACTAACAAATGAGATCGTGTTCACCCCCTACAGACGTAAACACCAAAACAAATTGGTCTGCCCAAACGACAAAAACAAGCAAACCTCGATGCAGACATTTTATCCAATAAAATACAGGTTTGTGCCGCTCGAAACAATATAGTAACTTGTGTTTTTAAAATGATCTTTTGATAAACAGTGCCCTGGTTACTCTAGATAATGCACTCAACACACAGTCAACTGTTTTCATTTATCTGCAGTATAAAGTAGCTTCACTGAAAACTGTTCACAGTGGGAGGCGTGGATCATCCACAGTAACCTGGATCCCGTCTTTTGGAAAGACACGCTGCTGCTGAATTGTTTTAATGTAACTTACCACTGCTAGGGGAGTGAGAAATACAGGGAGTTCAACCCCATATTGAGTTAATGGCGGTGGACTGGTTACAATGCCCTTAGATAAGGTTTACCCGGTTGCTAAAGCAGTGGGACAAAGACAAGGCTGTGATTCCAACACAGTTCAGCCCATATGGATGTAAACACCATCATATTTGAGCTGAAAGTCAGTACTTTGACCACAAAGTCATTGTACAGAAGGCTATAATGTAAGCTTAAATGTGCAAAAATAACTAAACACTTAGAGACTAATGTAAACTGTACTTATCCCTCACTTTTCAACATAAACCAGGCATTAACCTGAATCTTTTACAGTGAGGCAGGATGAAGGGAGGGGGGTTCTGGGTGCTGTTGGGAAAGCCTCCATAAAAGAGCCTGTTAGTCACAGTACGACTCCACCCTGATGATCTGGCTCTCTGCAGACTGGGCTAGATAAACACTTTTTTTTTTTTTTGGTCAAGCAAACCACATGAGAGCCTGAGAATACCCCCCTGCAATCCTTCCCCCCCCCCCCCCCATAAAAACAACCCTCAGAGACACCTAATGCATGGCAAACAAGCCGGGTCACAGTGCATCTACTCCACTCTGAGGCTCGGACAAACAGACACCACTGAAAATGGAGGGCAAGGACGAAAACCAACAAAGACGCCTGCACCTCGCTTTCATTTCGCATGATTAGCAAATCAATGCTGCACAGATTAGTTGTTTATTTCAAGGTTGCTGAAGTAAAGTGCAACAACAGATAACAAACGTAAAGTGAGGGGGGGGGGGGCTGCATCCCTGATACAGAAACCTGCAGACTAATTATATTCTTTGTGAAGGTGAAATCAAACAGAGCTTTTGTAATGAATTAATGAGCACGCGTTGACTTCGAGGGTCTGCTTCTTAGAACACATCGATCATCGGCGATGCACAGAAATGACACAGTAACAGCAAATTAACTGGAGACGACTTCTCTGTGGCGTTTATGAACCGGGCATCGAACACAGTCGAGGACGACATTTTCACAAGTTCTTCAGTGGTTGAGACGATTGTGATTTTAAAGAGGTGATGTCAGGGAAGCGAAACAGCTTCACTGTTGATCAGTTACATGAACTCAGTCGGTGGAGGGTTTGCTGGTGGAACATCAAAGGCTGTACGCGTCCTCGGGTAACTCTCCCAGCAGTTCATCCAGGTCATCATCTGCACAACAGACAGACTTCAGTAAGTAGGAACATAATATAATAATAATGTTGAATTCACAAATTCAACTGACAGGAAACTGAGAAATCTTCACCTGCCTATGGGATAAACGTTGAAAAGTAAAGTTCTCATGTAAATATGTAATCTAACAGCTTTGTAAAAGACTGTTTGGGGTATTTTCCCCTGTCACTGGACAGCAGGCGGTACAGGGATAGACAGGTTTTAAGGGAAGAGAGGTACCCGGCTAGAAAGGACCCATGAGCTTTAACCATTAGGCTGTTAGTTGACAGTTTAATGTTGTCTTGTGTATAGAACAGAAAGGTAGTGTACAGTGTGTTTATCTGAACAATGAATCAGTCTCTTAATACAAGCGGTCAGCTCTGTAGAAAGCCCCATGACTTAACAGAGTTACAGCTACAACAGCTGTCCACACAGTCCATCCAGAGAGCAGAGAGACGGGACATAAACACTAAGATGTTTTGTGAGGAGTAGCGTTCAAACCATCAGTCGCTTGTTCAGAAAACTAATCAGCTCAATTGAAAAAACACACATTTCTTAGTCTATACTCGTTCTTTCTGCCCCAAAAGGCAGCAATGGTCCGTAGAATGTGACCCGAGGGTGGCTACCTTACTATACCCTCTGTTTTTATAAAGCCCTCTGCCTCTCATTTGTGCATTCACACTGCTCTGTTGATGGATCTACGTCATTAGGATTCATCCTCTGGGGAAGTTGATCGTCTATTCAGTAAAAGTGGCTGGAATATTTAACTCTGGACAAGACTTTGACTGACAGAAAGATATTAAGGTCTCTGGAGCCATTTCACATGCCGACTCATCTCCGTGTGTCGTATAATTATTAGCTGATCAGAGTCATCATGTCATTTTAAAATACAAACGCAGGCTTTGCTGCCTTGGTTTTGTCAACAATCCTCTTTCTTATTTTTACGTTTTACCGACTGAATAATAAAAAGGGAAAAAAAGCCGATTAATCAAACTGAAACATTGGTTAGTTGCAGCTGTGGTGCAGAACAATGCAATCAGTACCTTCTTTGTTCTGCTACAGTTAGGTTGGCTTTGGGTCAGCACGTCAAATGTCTCAAAGAATTGATCTCGCCCTCTCATCACAAGTGTTATTACATATTAGAGGCCCCAACCTGCATCCCAGCCCGAGTCCTGTGGTGCAGGGTTCCCCGCAGGCTCTCGGGGGCCTCTGCTGGAGCTGGCTCTAGTGTCTCTTGGGACTTTCGGGTCTTCGCCTCCCTCTGAGCATTTCCCCACCTCTTGTCCCTCGTCGTCGTCGTCCTCCTCGTCAAACACCAGCTGCATCCGAGACACGGTCCCCTGGAGGCCGGCGGGGGAGGGACCAGCCTGGGACATCGGCTCCTGGATAGAAAAAGAACGAAAAAAAAAAATGCTTTGAAGAGACAGCTGGCAGCTTGACGGATTATTCTGGATGACAGATTCTCATATTTGTTGGACTGTGCTACGCTCGTTTCCAGCTGACGGCCGCAGTGCTCACCAGGATGAGCGGGGGGAGCTGAGTGGAGGACAGTGCGACTCCATCGGGGGCGTAGATCCTCAGCAGGTTGTTGGGTGTCACGTTCAGGTAATGGTTACGATGGGAGGGGGAGAACACACCCACCTGTCCACAGAGAGAGCCAGAAATAGATGTGTAACCACGAGGGTAAAGCTTAAATACTACACTGCAGTTACCGTCATTAACGTTGAATGAAATGGAAGCGATGAGTCTCACTTGTTTGAGTAGGAGCACAGCTCCAACCTTCAGCTCCTCCTCTCGGTCCTCGAGGAGGCGTCGATGCACCGTCCCCTGAATCTCCCCTTCAGTCCAAAAATATAAACAGAACAATGAGAGAAATTAAATCATTTAAGAACAGTAAGTGCTTGCAGGTCCAAGAAACCCTGAGGTACTCTACACTGTACATCGCTCATAATGTAGGTTAATGGGGGAGAAACATAAAACAGCATTAAAATAAACATCTGTTAAATCTCCAAAACTAAATATGATCTAAGACATGCTATATTTAAGAAAATTAACACCTTTAATTCTAGTCTTAAGAGAGTAACCATAGACTGTATAGAAGAAGTGGATGTTGTCACAGTGACGTCACCCATTGGTTTGTGGACGACATTTTAGGCGTCGCCATCTTCTAACCAGAAGTGACACGAGAGGGCGGAGCTAAGAACAACCCGACGCTGGAAAAGACTCTGGAGGCGACCATAGAACGCTAGAATTAACTCTCATGAAGTAAAAACACACCGTGAAAGGGTTACAGATGTTAAACACGGACGAATCCCTCCGTGGGAACGACCTGTCAATCACAATGTAGCCCCGCCTTAAAACATACCCTGCTACTCTTCTATCTGACTCTAAATGGGACTTTAATTTACTATATATATATATATATATATCTTTTACTGTAAAAAAACATCAGCAAAGAGTGAAAAACGTCCACAACTGTCAAAAAGCGACACCTCGAAATTGCTTTTTGAAACACTTTAAACCCCCAAAAGTATTGAAACTACAGTAATAGAATACAGCACAGTAATGTATTTTTATCATTTAGCTGCCGATAGATAGATGGGCTCATCTTTAAGGCGAGTGTGAAGCGGATACAGTCGCACTGCCCGCTGGAGACGAACCTTTCAGCAGGTGGGATTCCCATTACTGACAGAATGTTCCCTCGTGGTGTCACAAGCACTTAAAACCCATCCACCGCCAATCTACCACAATTGAATCACTAATCAGCACTTAAGTCCCGTGTTGAGTACAACATCCATTCCCAGAGTGTTAACAATCAGCACGTCTTGTGACGCTGCTCTCTGGGGGACATGGCAACCCGGCTCGGCTTTAAGAGGATCAGACGAAAGAAGGGGCAAAGGCTCAAGACGGAGGAGAAGGAAAGAAGGAAGAGGAGGCAGCACAGATCTGTAGTCACACAGCATTTCAGCTACTTATTGTGCACCTTGTATTGCAGGTTGATACACATTCCTACAGTGAGGCCAGCGTGATGTATGTCGTGTGCGTGTCCACTACCTGTCGGGTCTTTAAACACAGCCTTGGCGTCGCCGTGCGTGTGGATGATGCTCTTCAGGAGCACGGCCATGTTGGGCACTTTGTTTCTCGCCAGCCGTTTCAGTGCAGCCTACAAATGACGGGCAACAGACAGCGTGTCAAATAACAGTTATTTTATTACATATTTATATAACTACAGTATATTCACCAAAGGGTTATTTTAGACGAGCTCGGGTAAGCTTGCATCCATTTCCACCCATATCACTGTGTGCCGTGTGAACATCATTACAGCTGTTGATTAACAGATTTATTTCTTAGAATCGATTTATCTTTCCAGTAATTTTTTTAGATTATTTAGAGGATTTTGCTCAAATAAAACAAGCATTTCCAAAACATCAGCCGTGGGCTCTGGGAGTATATAAATACAATTTGTCAAACTTGAAATAATGCTCAAATCTCAACACTTTGAGAAAGACGCAGCGATGCACACCACCAGAGATTCTTTATTTGGGTTTAAGACGTGTTTAAGACAAACTATCACTGCCCTCAGTCTGAAATGAAACATACAGATGTGTGAACATAATATAAGAATATTAATCTGATGGATATTTATTATCCTTTCATTCGCCGTTGGGATCATCCACTCTCTCCGCTGCATTCGACGTAACATGTTATTGTAAACGTGTCAACAGCCACGACAGGAAACGCCATGTTTAAGTGCTCCCAACGACTGAGTGCTGGCGAGCTATTCCTCCGAAGTTCGACGCACGGCGGGAGCAGAATAAACAGTCTCCATTAGAGTGATTGATGGTGATCTTGCTGTTTATAATTACAAAAACACCTCCGCTACAGCTCCTCCATTTGTCCTGATTATGCCAATAGACCTCCAGCAGCGACACACTGTCTTGTTATTATGGAGGATAAATATTCAAGCGACGGCTTGCCCTAAAAATCACCTTTCGGAGCACCATGACGACGCTGTAAGAGTGCAGGAAGCACGACGGGTTCCTCTCATCCAATCCCATCTCGGCCTTCATCGCGGCCCAGCCGCCGCCGCTGAACTCGTCTTCTTCAGTCTGTGAGCTGGAGCCCTTTTAAAATCGAGTCAAAAGGGTTTATATACGCTCACAGAAAACGTAGTTACTGAGCACACCTGGCTTGAAAATCTCAAGTTCATGTGTTTTCTATGCATCATTGTATTCTCTCACATGGTCCCTGTGTGGCTCCACTGCAATCAGATTGTGTGAAAATGAATTTCACACTGCAGCATGAAACTCTTCAGTGTCTGGTTTTGAAGGTACGACATCCATATTGAGACAAAATGCATCCTGGGAAGTTTAGGAAAACGTAAACCCAACTCCTATTCATGTCAGACGTATGGAAGCATGTTGTTATTGCTGAATAGTAAAACGTTTATTCTCATGTCGGAAACAATGATATTCTTTTCAGTTATTGCTCCTCTGTTGCACAAACATTTTGTGAACGCACATCCACCTAGTTTCTATGTTAACTGATCCTGTGGAGGTGGAGGCTATCCCAGCATGCACTGGGTGAGAGCGCAGAGGAGAGGGCCGAACTTCCTCTGTTCTTAATGGGCATTTACTCCCATTGATTATAAAGACGTAAAAATAACTGTCAAATGTCTATAGAATCAGAATCAGCTTTATTGGCTGATTCTATAGACATCTTTATTAGGGTAAACCTAATAATGGGCTGTTGATCTGACAAAACTACACATCCGAATACGTCAACTGGAGCTTTGGGAGATATTTTATACAAACAAATCATAGAACGATCATGAAAATACTCAATCGCTCTTTTATTACCTGGCTTGGCGACCGCGCCACAACCCCGTGAGCAGGAGTCTGAGGGACAGAGACCACGATGTCGTCCAGGTTCTGACCCTGCGGCTGAGAGAGAAGAATTCAGTTATTACACGGCACCATGGTGGAAAACACAAACGCATAACCGCTGGATGAGACTGACCTGCTGGGGCAGGAATCCGGCGGGGCCGGGGAAGCGTCTGGACCGATGAGGCTCAGACCGAGGCCTCTTCTGAGGGAGCTTATTGGAGGCCGACACCAACTGGACCAGGCGGTTGGTGAGGAGCGGTGTGTGAAGGGGATGAGGGCTCAGAGCGGAGGAGGAAGAGGGCGCTGGGGAGGAGACCGTCGCAAAGAGGACCTGAGGGGAGGGTCCCGGATTGGCCCACGGCCTCTGGGGCCTGTTTAGTGTCCTGGAAATGGGGCTGGGGGCCGGAGAAGACGTAGTGAGGCCGGGGAAAACACTGGGACTCTGTGGAGGGGCTGAGAGGAGAGCAGGGCGGGGATTCGGGGATCGCAGAAGAGGAGTGGAGGAGATCCGAGGAGGTAGGTCACGACTAAATGAGCCAGAAGCCTGGCGTGCGGTGCTGAAGTCTCTCAGGGACCGGTTAGGGTGGGTCTGAATCCCTCCACAGGTCGGGGGTCGCAGCATTTTGGATGAAGATGCCGGATCGACCGCAGGAGCAGGTGGGACTGGAGCAGGAGGCCGTCCCATCTGGCGGTCGCACTCGTCCAGGTCTGCCAGGTCAACATCCCAGTCGTCAAAATCGTCCTGAGCCACACAGGGCGTCGGCGGACCCTCCGCGTGACTCTGTCGTGAAGCCAAATTAGGCTGAGAGTTATTCAGTGTGGGAGGAAGGGGCTGAGCAGAGGAGGAGGAGGAGGAGGGCCGTCTCAGACCCAGGCCGGTTTGTCTAGCAGCAGTGTGCGTGCTGCTCTTTGATGCGGTGCCATTACACAGGGCTGCAGATCTCTCTCCCGTGAGCTGAAGGCAGTTTTTCCCCGGCTCTCTGAGAGAAACAGAGGAAGCCCGCAGCGAGCGGGATGACACGGCAGCTGCCACATCGGCTGGTCCAGACGATGAGCGGACAGCCCAGTCTGTCCCCAGCAGGTCCTGGGAGAAACACACACACACACACACACACACACACACACACACACACACACACACACATTAACAGTGTGAGAGCGGGGGAGCAGAAGGAGGATCCTTCTGTTACTGAATGTGATCAGTCCGCACTGACAGTTAAGTAAAACCAGGTGTGTTCTCTGCTGGGATTCACCTCATCATCAAAGTCCTCGCCAATGCTGAACAGGCCACTTAATTTGCAGGTCTGTAACAGAGGTAACGAGACACACGATCAAAGGGCTTGACCAGCACGTGCAGGAATAAACATCCCAGGTGCTATTCACCAGATGAAACCCTAATGAACACGTCATGAGGTAATATGTTACCCGTGTGCATTAATAAGCATCTTGTTAGCAGAGTTAGCTCAAATAGTTTTGAGTTCACTTACCATCGCAGTCATGAGATATCGCGATGAAAGCCGTTATTTGATCGGTCCGCACACCAAACTTACCGAGACACTGAACGCCATTCAATGACTGCGTGTCAACATAACTTGTTGTTTTGTTCCCACGTCTTCAACTTTACAAACAAAACGCTACCAGGCAGCAGCGAGCGAGTTGAAAACGTTCAGCTCCTCGGGAGCGCGCCGCCACGTTCAAACATAACGTGATGACGTCGGATATGTTTTTACAAAGAGTGTTGAAGCAAAGCGAGATGACTCACTCCCCTTTTACCCCGCATTATAAGTGTTGTTGTTGTTTTTGCTTTTTGTAACTCAGAGGAGCTAAAATATTACAGATATATGCTAAAGTTGGAAAATAATGAAACATGAGAGGGAACCGGAAGCAATAGCGCGGTCACTTCTGAACCATGGAGCTAAGACTGTTTCACCAAAGGTTAAAAACAAGCACACTGAGAGAACGTGATACTGATTCTGTAAAATGAGTTGTTTTCTAATGCACACCTGATCGACAGGTGAGTAAGTGGTACCAGAAATTATTGAATTCCTGCRTTGTGTCTGTTTTCCTGTTACATTAATCTGAACCCAACCAAAACCTCTGCTTATCTCCTAAACATAACATAAACTAGGCCCTAACATCAACCATGGAGAGGGAAACACTTGACACAAGAACTGCAGACTGTCAAAATCTATAGAATGCAAATGACAATAGAAGAGGAGAACAAATTGCAACCAAATCAAATATGCTGTTATGTTAGTGCTGTAATTACCAAGAAATATTCAAACAGGGAAAGAGGAGGCAGATGATCAAACAATACACAGTCCAGGCCTCATATACAATTTGGAAATATCTTCTTATAACTTAATTTAAAAATCATTTAAAAGTGTTTCAAAGATGGACGACGGAATCCATTGGAAATGTGAAGCAGAATTGTCAAATATTGCACCAAATGTCAGGTTAATATCTCAAGTGAAAACTTCCAAGTGAAGAGTCAAATATTACAGAATGTCTGAGCAATATAATAATGCAATGATAATGTGGTGCAAATACTGTAATTCTGTAAATATCAAGTCAGAAAGAGAAGGGCTAACCCCTAAAATCCATCCTCTTTCATCTGTCTCCAGATGTTGAAGCAGTGCGTCCTCTCTCCTGCCACTCTGGAGGTGCTGCTGAACTCGTACACATCCCTCCCTGCCTGCGAGTGGATGGACTCTCTGTCCGCCGAGGTGTACGAGGTGAGCAGTGTTTTGGGTCACGTCTCCTCTTGTTTACCATCCAGTGCTCGATAGTGTTTCTGTTTGTCCCCTCGGTGCCTCAGGAGCACCGGTCTTTCTTCGACTTGGTGCGTCAGCGGAGCGCTCAGCCTCGCTCTCTGCAGCATCTCTGTCGATGTGCTGTGCGCCTGCGTCTCGGAGGTCTATGTTTTCCAGCGGTCCGTGAACTGGACATTCCGGGCTCCGTGAGGGATTACCTCCTGCTGAGTAACGACGGGACTCTCCTGTGACATCACACTGTGCGACACCTGCAACTCTTTGGAGACAAGATTTATTTTAGATCACGACGACCTGTTCCTGTTAACTATCACTTGTTTTTCTGGAAGAAAATATAAATGAATACAACTTTAGCTCCTGTTTGATTATGATTGATTTACTTTTAATTGATTCATATTGTTTTGAGTTGGTTGGTGTTGTTTTAACTCTAATTTCAGCCTAATTTTTCAGCCTAACTCTAACTTTTAAATAAGAACTTTATGAAATGACTGCATTGAAGAGCAATCAAAAATGATCATACAGGAAATTATGCATAGCTTCTTTGAATTAAAGGATCTACAGAAATAAAATACTGTTTGAGAAATATGCATTACTACTACTATACTACTAATACAACTATTGCTACTGAAATCAACAGTGGTAGTAATATTAGGGTTGTAATATGCATTTATTTATGAAGAGATCAGTGAAATTAAATATATGCTAATTTACTTAAATTTAAAGGGAAATATTGTACCTTTTGCTGCACTGTATTTATTTCACAGTAATGGTTATATAACAGGTTATATAACAGATTAAGATTTGAAATACAAAAACACACATTTTATAATAGACAAAAGTACTCAATGAAAAATATGTCACCTTGTTTGTCACTGATATCTCATTAGATTATTATTACTCATGTATTAATGTAAAACCAATCATTTAGTTTTTAGTTTCAGACTGTGTAGTTGGTTGAAGTGGAGCAAATTGTTTTTCTGTTTTGTGTCAGACGGCAACTAATGATCATTTCTCTATTAATCGATTGTTTGGTTTGTACAAATTCAGCAAATAGTGAGAAATGGCATCACAATTACCCAGTGACCAAAGTGACACCATCACAACGTTTGTGTTGTCCGACCAATACCACAAAATCATCTAAAAGTATCAAAACTAATGTTAAAAAACAGCAAATCAATATCATCACTTCAATCAATTATCAAATTGGTTGTCTTTTTTTGTTTTATAAGCTTGTTTTTTTGTGCAAAAATGTGAAGTAACTAAAGTTGTCTAAACAAATGTAGTGGGGTAAAAACTACTGTAACGCCCTGTGAAATGTAGTAGAACTATAAAGTGGCATGAAAAGAAAAGACTCAAGTTAAGTACAAGTAGTTCAAATTTGTTGTAGTACAATATTTAAGTATATATAAATGTGAATATGTCACCAAATCGTCCGCATCGTGAACAGTCCTACCACACTATTATTATTATTACATTATATCTATAGTTATTGTATGAGCGAGAGGAGCAACAGGCGCGTGACCCGTCTCCGAAACAAGCGCTCCGCGCTGCCTGCTGATGACGTCACTCCGCCTCTGTGTGTTTATTATGTGGCTTTTCAGGAGCAGCTGCTAACTAGCATCGAGCCTCGTCTTCAAACATGCTCTGATTTACTCAGCTGGCAGGTAAGATCGTTTGTTACCAACGCAGCAAAGACGCACAGCTCGTGCACACGACATCTGCATCCAAGTTACAAAACTATTGCGACAAAAACTAAACCGAGCGGCGACAGGCGAAGGTCGTTTTTCTTTTTTAGAAGCTAGCAAGGTAGGCTAGCTTGCGAGCTAACTTAGCTCGCTAACTAGCAACTCAAACTACAGCATAACAAGTTAGCAGCACAGAAGATTAGGTGACATAACGCCACGTTGTTTCGGATAAATGTTCGAATGTAAAGACCGACGTGGCGGAAGAAGTCTCGGCTGACACGTCTGTGAACAGCTGTGTGTTTGGACATTTCTCCACAGCTCCATGAACAGCTGTTGACCAGCCTCTGATGTCTTAAATAACGCCAAATACCTCATTAAAGGATTATACACCTGCCAGCAACCCTGCTTGTGATCAAGTCATGTATATGTGTGTACTGAGCTATAAAGTACTGGGTTTATAAGGTGTTTTTATGGCAAGAACCCAGAGTACTGGGCGTCTTGTTTGAAGGAGCTTTGTCTGTTTGTTTTTGAGATTATAATAGTTTAATTTGTGTAATCAGTTATGTGTATTTTCTTTCAAAAACAGAGCTAAAGTGTTCTGTCATCATTTAGGCGATGGGTGGGACGTATGAATGAAATCTTATATCTTCTGATATATATATATATATATATATATCTATGATTAAACTGACAATTAATCCCCAGACTGTGAATCTATGCTATTTTTATAATATATTAACAAGTACTTATCATTCCCTAATCCCTAGTAATTTTATCCATCTCACATGTTGTGATAAATATGTTGTTGGGTGGGTAAAATAGGTCACCGTGGGCCTTTTTAGAAACTTTCTTTTTTACTGTATTTATTGCATTTCATGGATACATTTAAAATATATTGGCAGGTAACATAATTAACTGAGAACTTTGTTACACTTAGGATGCAAAAGTCCTAAAAATACAACACAATAAAACAATTGATTGATGACTCATTGATAAACAATATTGGCCACAGTGGTTAAATACAACTAGAGTCACAGCATACTGTGTTGTTTGTGGGGAAAAATGCAGATTTGTTTTGTTTAAAGTAATTGAAATAACTTGACAAATACATGTCATATGAGAAAATAACTAATGTATATAGAGGTAATTATAATCAAAGGCAGATTATATTCCCATTAAATAAATTGTTGAGATATTGCCAGCATATGACAGAGTCTTATGTGTTGGATTAGATTTGGGAAACCATCAACATTGTGTTTAAGTTAGCTTATATGTGTTGCTTAGTTGCTACATTGTTGTACAGATTGTAAACCTCTTTGACTCAGTGCTATATAAGTAAACGTGTGTTGTGTCTTTTCTTCAGGTTTGGAGGACAGAGATGGCAGTGTGTGCACTGACCATGCTGGATGGGATGGAGGCGGAGGTAACGGCAGCGGGTGGTGTGTTGCTCCTGGTCCTGGCTCTGGTCTTCGCTTGGCTCTCGACGCACGTGGCCGACCGGGGAGACCACATCCTGGGCACCATCCTCACCGTGGGCGCTCACGCCTCTCTGATCGGACTGGGAGGCCACGAGGGCTACAGCGGAGGGCCTCCCAACGCCGACAACCCGGAACAGCAGACCCCCCCGCCTTCTCAGGAGAACAAGCCGGACGACAGCGAGCCGGGGTCTGAGAGGGGAGAGGGGGAGGGGACTGGGGAGGCAGCTGAGGGTGTTAGGACTGACCTCCTGCTGGACATACAGAGCAAACAACCACAGGCTGGAAGACTGCACACTTCAGATGACGAGGAAGACGAGGATGATGAGGAGGATGATGAGGAGGAACTGGAGGAGGAAGATAAAAAGATTCTGAAGCATATCCCTGTGTTCTCCAGCATCATCTCCCCCACCATCAACACTGCCACTTCCATCTCTGTCCGTCTGAAGTATTTAAATGACACGGAGGAGGTAGCGGTTGTAGAAGCACAGGACACAGTGGGAGTACTGAAAAGGTAAAACAACCCCAAACATCCACCTGAAGACTTCCAGCACAGATTGTTAAAGGAGAGTTGATGATGAGATAGATAATGTACCACATTCATGTCTGTGAAGCTAGCCTGGCTTTGCTAATTAACTCATGATGTCTAAGTGTAAAATGACACCTTGTGGTTTTTACGAGAGGTCATGTGTGGGACTATTTCTTGGCCTTTAGCCTTGTCGTTCATCAATATGCAGTTTACCGACTCTACTCTCTCATCTCTCTCGTTCTCCAGTAAATACTTCTCAGGTCGGGAGCATCAAATAAAACTCATCTACCAGGGCCAGTTGCTGCAGGATCCCAAGAAGACTCTCCTCTCCCTCAACATCTCACACAACAGCGTGATCCACTGCCACATCTCCCAGGCCCTACACGAGACAACACCGGAGGAAGGGCCTCAGTCTGGGGCCGGCGCGGGAGTCGGGTCCGGGGTCTCCGGAGGATTCCGGGCCGCGGGCGTAGCCATCAGCACCAGCAGCCTGGTGGTGCCCGTGTTTGTGGTGATACTGGCCGTGGTGTGGTACTTCCGCATCAACTACAGGCAGTTCTTCACGGCCCCCGCGACCATCTCCCTCGTGGGAGTCACTGTGTTCTTCAGCTTTTTGATATTTGGGATGCACAGCCGCTGAAGAGGCAGAGAGAGAGGGCACACACACACACACTTACAGCTGAATGTTGTGAGGTAAAATAAAAAACTGAAGCCGCGGGCGCCGCCTGGAGAGAGACGGACTAATCAGAACGGGGATCGGTGCAAACGCCACAGCCGATTGGCTGTGAGAGAGAGGCTAGGTGGGCCCGTCTGTGCATGTACCAAGATAAAACAACAAGATAAGTGCTTGTACAGTTTATGTTGAGTTAATAATAATCCGCAGTGAGTAAAGTTCAGCTGAAATTGAACGATACTTTAGCTCCTCTCCAAACTTAGTGGTTCACACCATGTTCAAACACTCGGCTTCATCTCATCCGCTGTTATCGTTGAAAGAGATTCATCATGTTACTCCTCCGTCTTTGTTTTTTTTTAAGGCCACTGTGTTTGTGTTAAAAAAAGAAGTATAATTAACTTTATAGATGCCAGAATCTGAAATATTTTGGAACCACTCACTTGTGTTGTGTTTTAAGTACCATTATTTTGTGTTATATGAATGAGTCAAGCTCCGTGTAAGCAAATGTGGACTGTACAGCTGCCAATAGTTTTGTTGCTCAAAAACTGTTGCTTTGTAGAAATAGGCCAATTTAAATAATCACTAGACAATTTGAGAATATATTGTAAATACATTGTGTATTTTCTGTAAATAAAATGATAGAATGAATCAGATGAACCTGCATCTGGCACTTAAAGGATTTGGAGGGGGACGTTCAAACCCTCCTGATTATGCTGGACTGCTCTGGCTTCAGTGATGTCTCCAATTAAAGCGTTTCAAACCAAACCTGCTCCGGTGTCCGTGTGTAGTCTGAAGAAGTGAGCCTCTAGGTAGGGGTGGTGTTTATTTATATGCACACACCAGTATACAGTCATTCACACCTGCACAGGTTTGTGCTTGTGCAGGAACAAAATATTGGAAAGTCACAACATCGCGTTCTTGGTTATTGCACTCGTACCGCACACAAATACACAAAAGAGAACATCAGCCGTCAGCTTCATCCATGAAAAGTGGTTCAAGAATCTAAGTCCCACCTACCAAAGTATCTCAACAACAGTTTATTTATCGTTAGTGCACGTCACAAGACTACTGGAGAAGATTTAAAAGGGCACGGTCAAAGTCACCACAGACCTTCACAGAAACAGATGTTTTGGAAGTTCACTGTACTGGAAAATAAATCAGGATTTGACAAGATTGTCACGTTCAGTGAGAGAAGCAACTGATTGCACTTGACTTTAGGGACTGTACACAAACTATTTGAGGGGGGGGAGGGAGGTTGAATCTTTATATTTCCTTGGCCATTATTATTTTTCTTTGAACCCTCCCCTTGACTTAGAATAATAAGGGACACCCTTCTTCCCCCAATACCTAGAAATCAAATATTAAAAAAACAAAGCAAATATTCAAGTCGTTCTCTCAGCCACCAAATGGGTGGAAAAACTGATTTATTAGTCCTGCTAACCAATTAAAGTCGATACCTTGATACAGCGTAAACCCGCCTCCTTTTCTTAAATCTTCCTCCCCTTCATAATTTTCATACAGTCCCTACGTTTCACAGCGATGATGTCCTGATGTATTAAAACAAAATACGTCATGCTTGTACTCAACTCTACATTAATATCTGAAACTGTAAAGTATTTAGGTTTGAAAAGAAGAAAAAAAAAAAAAAAAAAAAAGCTTCACTCGAGACATCAAGGATTAGTGACGCTTAAAGCATGTAAATACATCTCACCACCGTTACAGAAGACAATATTTAGGATCGCTCATGATCATGAATGACGAGCAGATCGGCAGCACTGATCTACGAGCAGAAAGTAAGTGAAAATACACAAGTTTTGTACCGAGGAAAGAAAGTTATGTTGGATTCATGATTACGTTTCCATCTCACGCGTCATACATACATGTACTGTACATGTGCCCCAAGCCCACTGGCTCATCTAATATCAAAATCTGCATTTACACACAAGTAATATGCACACACCACTTTATAAGCAGTGACAAGTAAAAACTTAAATAGATTGTTGTCAACAAAAGAAGTGAAATATCTTAAATGGCACGCATACTTTCACGAGAATGTCACATTCTAGGATGCATAGTTTTATGAAAATATAACTGATCTCACACACAGACACTCTATAACTACACAAACAAACACTATGCAAAAAAAATTGACATTCACACTGAATCAAAGTCGGCACCCACACACACACACACACACACACACACAAACTGTGCAATACAATGCTATAATTGCAAAGCCACCGATGTTTCCTCCTGTCTACGTGTGTCAAGTGTTAAAAGCAGTTGAAGTCAACACGTCTCCTCTAAACTGAGTTAAATGAAGAGGGACAGGTCTCAGGACCGCCAACAATGACACCTGAAGGTTTCACAAAGCCACATTTAAGACTTTTCATGCTTTGAGGAAAAGGTTTTTGGGGCCAACATGGAACCTTTTCTGACCGACTACAGATAATAAAAGGTCTTAAACTTTAAATAAGCAGTTAAAGAAAACAAGGTCATCAGGAATTTAGATGTTTAGGGACATTTTGTACAAAAATCCAGAGAAGTGGACGACTAAAGACAGGAAAAGCACAGGTGCGATTAACTATGTAAACCCTGTCAGTATGCACAATGGCAAGGCCCCGAAATCAGGAAAGCTAAATGGAGTGCAGCCCTTAATCATATTAATTACACCTGCAATTTTCATGTCAAAATGCCTTTTTTCCCCCCCACTAGAAAATAAAATGAATGATATTCCTATTATATTGTGCACCTCCATTGTAATTAGTAGGTTTGAAAAGCCCAAAGTGCACGGACCCCCCCCTGTGGCTGTTTGGTCCAAATTAAGGAAGATGTAACTCTACAGCAGACAATGATATTCTATCTGTAGCGCTTCCAACAGTTTGTGGAGGTCCTCATGGTTTCAACATGACGACTCCTCTGCGCACACAGTTTAGTTTTGGAGGATCTTGGCTGCACTGAGCCCTGACCTCGACCCCTTCGAGATGAACTGAAACTGTAACGTCCAGGTGTCCACATACCTTTAGGCCATATAGTGGAACATCTTAAACTCAAATACCTGCCTGGACAATATGAAGGCATATATGGTGACTTTACCAGCTGTCTGATTCACAGCTGGAGGCCTTCCATTAATTTAGAAACTAGGTCTGCTTTACGAAGGAATATTCCCAACAAGCCACATTTTTTTTTTTTTTTTTAAACATTGTGTTCATACTACAGAAGAGTTCATTAAATTTTAAATGTACATCAAGTTTCATCCCATCCTGTCCAGGCCGGTACATTTATGTTTGAATGGAGGAGCTTAACAGAGGAGGGCTCATGCTAGTTTAAGTCATCATAGATACTGGTAATAGAAGGTGCTGAGAGTTTGGGCCTCTTTTTTTTGGTCAATAAGCTGATGTTACTCTGAGAGCTGCTGCTGCCTCCAGACAGACTTCCTCCTATTCCTCCTATTCCTCCTATACCTCCTCCTCCACTGTTCAAACCGAGAGACTGCATCTTCTTTTTCTTGGGCCTCCTGGAATCGGAATGGTTGGTGCCTGTGAAAGGGACAGGAAATGTATCAATCAACCGTGCATGTTTTACCAAAATCCCTTTCAGGATAATGCACACGTTACTTCCTTACTGGCTTTGGATGAGGCCGAGTCAGCGGGTGAAATATCAGGAGAGTCTTCCCACTGCAGGCGGCTCATCAGGGTCTGTCCATCTGGAATGTCAAAGCTGTCGCTCTCCACCACAGCGTCTGCATCAGGCAGGGACGGCCTGTTTCATGGAAACCACACAGAGGTACTGACTGGTTAGACTGGAGAGGGAAAACTCAGATTGATCCTTAAAAATGTCTAGATATTTATAATATTACTGCTATACTTAATGTAGTCAAGAATTAGTTAAAGAAACAGTAAGACTTTTTTTTTTTTGCCTTTTTGTCTTCTCTTCTCTTGGCTTACCAATTAATTGTTTAATTAATCTATAAGTATTATTATTGGTGAGTTTAATTTCGTTTTCGGCAAGATTGTATGAAATGTCTTATATCTCAAATTCCTGATAAGTCTGTCGATAACAATTTGTCAATGCAAAACACACGCAGTTTATTTATTGTGATAAACCAAACAGTCTTGTTAAGACTAGTCTTAAACTGATCATTTTCAAGAGCTTGAGATATGATGTGGGGTTTGTCATTGAAAGCTACATGTATAGCTGGGATAAAATAATGCAGGTTCCACCACAGAGTTTGGTGAATCATGCGTCACATGCTGATTGACACAGGTGCTCCTCCATCCTCCACTGAAACCTAATACAGGCCAGGACAAAAAAACCCTGGTGGTAATGTATGACCTTTTTCTTTTTCTTTTTTAAATGATAAAAGATTAATCAGCGGAAGCTTCTGTTCCCTGCAGAAAAGGCCCCATTGTACCAGAGTCTCACAACACTGACCAGCAGCATTGTTGTGCTCGTATCTGGAGCACCTCGATCCGAAAACATCCACCTGCACCACGAGGGTCACAACACTCATCCAAACATAAGTACACTTGCAGAGGGGGGGTGCACTCACGCGGACGGCCCCAGGAGGAACACCCTGACGGCCCTCCTCTGTTCGTCCGTGTGCTGGGGACATCGCTGAGACCTGGTGGTACACAAGGTGGCATTATACACCCCTGACACAGCTTCATGCATCACCCTGCCTGCACACATACAGCCACAGGGAGGGAGGACACAACCAGTGACCAAGCAGATGTGAGAGGTTGGTCACTGACAGGGTCCTCTGTGGTCTATTTAAAAAAAAAAAAATAAAAATAAAAAAATAAAAAATAAAAAAAAAGATCTTGATCTAGATCTTTGGTGTTTCATTTTGGAGAAGAAAAACAAATAAACCAACTTGTGTACCCCTGAGCTGGTCCCAACGTCAATAATCATTTTCAGAAATACACAAATTGAACTGATCTCACGTGCAACCGTGACTTTCAGTCTGTAAGTGATTTAGTTTTGGAGACAAAGTTTTCACAGCGGGGCCAAACATAAAGACATAAAGGGACATGAAGACACTGACCTGAGAACTTGTATTAAATAACTTGGCGACACCGACATGAGGCCGGGCGTCACCGTACCTTGAGCACTCCTGCAACAGCAGTTAACCGGTTTCCCAGATTGGACACGTTTCAACACTAGTTTGTCTATGTGCCAGTGGAGTACACGGTAATTACCTGGTACACATCTTCTTGGTGTGCTCAGAGATCACCCCACATTGCTGTAAAAACAAACAACATCTGTTCAGTCAAAAGCAACGCTCGCTTTGGGTGCATTCATGTCGGCTACGCACCGTTGTTAAAAGGGATCTGACTTCATCGGGGCCTAAAGTTTCATAACTGATGCCAGTATTATAGTTGTACTGAAATGAAAGACAGACAAAGAACCATCATCAACACTTTGCACTGACATACGATACAAGATGGAAGAACTTTGAGGTCTTTCAGGCAACATGAGCGAAGGAAGATTAGTCACCTTGTAAGGCTCCGAGCTGACGCTGCCCCCGAGTTCACCTGGAAAATAAAAACATAAGCGTTGATCCTCTATATTTATACAACATGCACCATTAGAATAACATCAGAAGTGGACTTCAAGTCACAATCAAGTTACATATTTGGAAACTAGCTTGCAGCTAATCAGATATTATTTGATTCTCAGAAAAAGAGCTCGATTTGTAAAACCACACATTGCTGTTTTTACAAATTATTTTTAGGTTTATGTCTAACTATTCATTCAACTCAACAGCATGAATTTTCATAATACGGATGCCAATCAATAATCAAATGATATAGATAGATAGATAGATAGATAGATAGATAGATATATATATCCTCATTACGATTTGCTTTGAAAGCTATTCTGTTGTGCACCATTTTGCATATTTGGCAAAAGGTGAACCTTCTGCCTGTAGAACTTCTTCTGACAGCTGGTGTCCATATTCTACTTCCTGTGACTGAGGGACACCTGCATGCACAGAGCGTCCTGATCTTCAGAACGATGCTTGGGTTTCAAGACTTGTGGTCGGACCAGGTCCAGGTCCAGGTTCAGCCTCGACTCGTTTCAAACATCTACACCACATTCAGGAAGGTGCACGGACCAAATCCACAAGAAGCTACAAACCAGATAGACTCACCATTTTTATGTTTTAGAGACTTGGATCTTCTCGGAGAATTTTGATTCTGCACAAAGAAAACCATTGATATTAGATTAACCTCCTGATTATACACAGTGAAATGTGTATACAATTGACTCCAATACCGTCTGCAAAAGAGGAAACAAATGCAAAAGTACCTTATCTGACTTTCTCTTCTTGGCTGCAACATGGAAATAAGAAGTTTGTATATTATGTGAAAGCAACATGAGGTTTCTCTTTATTTTTCTATCTGCACAGTGAACATTAAACCATTTTTTTTTTTTTTAAACTCACCCTTTTTTTCTGCCCCATACGACCAGTCGTTGTCGTTGAGGTCATCGTTGTCCTCCTGATCGCTCTCTGATTTGCTCATGTTATTATTGGTGGCTAGCCTGTTAAAAGGTCAAAAGCAACATTCAAACAATGCGATCCTTCCCATTCTGCGTCAATACAACACTCCGTCCTGAACGACTATGACCGACTGACCTGCGGTTGGCGATGCGACTGCTGTTGCGGCCCATGCCGAGACATTTCTCCAAGTGTGGGGCGAAGCGAGAAGCCGCTATCAATCGCTTGCAGTTCGGGCACTCGCACTCCTTGTTTTTCCACTGATTGTACACCTGGCCAAATATGTCCACACCTGGCTGATCCACAATTTCTGGAGGAGTAATGAAAGGTGCATATTTGTACGGAAACACAAGAAGAAGAAGAGAAATGGGCCAGCAGAAACTCAAAGACGTGGTGGCACTGACCAAACTCTTTCATGCTCTCTTGGTCTGTTTCATCCAAGAAGAAGGAGCCCTGTTTCACAGCGCGGTGAACCTCGAAGCACAGGCCCAAACAGGCATCTTCCACCAGCTCAGAGTAGATGTCATGGACCAAGGCCTAGAACAAGATCATTTAAAATTCAAACTGGATACCACATTAAAAAAAAAACAGATGAAAGACATAACATCTGTCTGTGGGTGAGAGATTTATTTACACGTTATATCTTCACTCACCTCCAGCCTGGTGTTGTCTGGGCCTGACAGGGGCATATCCTCCATTTTCATTTGAAAATCTGTACGGGAAATCTTGATAGCAAGGTAATGAGATGCCGACCTGAGGACACAAAAACAAGCTTACAATCACGAGACGATGAGGTGAACGTTTAAAGAGAGAGAGAGACGATTCCATTCATCAAGGGTCCAGTTTAGGAATGAAAGTGAGACTAAAATACTTACTTTTGAAAGAGGTGTCGATACTCGTTGCAGATTTGTCTTCATTCTGTTGAAGAGAGAACAATTTATTAATGATGAGATAAGGTAAGATCAGCCTTTATCGATGCTCAGAGGGACATATCCGTCATTGCAGCACAAGGACAGAAATAAGTACGGATAGAAAACAAAAAAATAGAAACTATACAACATTAGTAAAGTAAAACAGCAGCAGAATATAGCGAGTATATGAGACTAATACTGTTTATAGCATGACTAAGCAATGATACTTAGTGTTTGTCTGTAGTAATAAAGAATTATAACAGAAAATTTAACTAGTGTATCAAGTAATACAACTTGTATTAACAAAGTATAGTATAGCACTGTATATATGGGGTGGGATACAGGATACAGCATAAAGTGACATTCAGTAGTACAGTAAAATACAGCACAGGAATATAGAATGTAATATAGTGTATAGTAAATGGTATGCTATTCTATAATCTAATTAATTTAACGTAGCAGGAAAAGTATATTTTTCAATGAATACAGCGCAAATGTAACTGAGGTAAGATGCGTCTTTATTTACACTTTCAACATTTTAAATATTACACACCGACCGAAACAACCTCGCCAACTAACGTGACTTTTAGGTGTTAAGTCGTTGCTGGCTCGGTTAGCTGGTTTGAGGCGCAGGAAACGCTCCTCGGATACAATGTAACGATAAAAAAAAACAAAATGCTTCCTCTTACCTTGTCATGCCGAACACTCAGCCTGAAGCAGGCGGTTTCTGTGAGGTGAGCAGCATCACCGTGAGTCCGTGTCAGGAACACGTTAATAAGAAGCTGCAGACATCTCTTCTATGAGGAGAAACCTGTTAATATTGCTCGTTTTCGCAGGTTAAATTAACGCTGCACCTCCGCTGGACACCGAGGAGGCCAACAGTGAAGTACCGGAGAAACAAAACAACGCATTTCCGGTTTTAACCTTCACAATAAAAGCCTTGCCTCCGAGGACGAGCTGTCAAATGTTTAGCAAAATCCCTAGTCGTATATTTTAATTAAATTAAATACCACTATGTAGAGTTACTATATTATAAGTAAAAGGTCTTAAATTCAAGATCTGGCTTGAGTGAAAAGTATTATTAGCTAAAGTTTTGCCTAAAGTAACATTAAATGGAAGCACAAAGTAAACAAGCCTTAGAATTGCACTTAAGCACAGTACTTGCAGTTAAGTAACTTTCACCACGGATCATTATCAGTGTTTTTTTTCTTCCATCTAGCTATATTTAGCCACGATTAGCTAGGACATGTGTGACACAGCGAAGACCTATTGATTTTATTTTGAAGGCACGACAAAGGGGCTTCCGGTGTCACTGACAGCTCGCGGACGCGTATCATCGCCTTAAGACGTTAATAAATGAACGAGATTGTCGCTCGTTATCTGTGATCAATTAGTTGTGCCTGAACGGTTGAATGAGGTCATCTGTAACACCAACAGGCACTCTATGACCTAAAGTATGTGCACATCACAGACCTTTATTTGGTAGTTTGCAACACAATAAAGGTGCTTTATCTTATAATCTTGGGTATGTGTAGTAATAGTAAAAATGTTCTTAAACATTTACCTTAGTCTACAAACATTCAAAACGGAGAAAAGCTGCAGAAATGAACATTTCAAAAGTGATTTCTTGCTTGAAAAATGACTTTGATCTAGTTATGTCAGATTCATTTTTCTTTTGATCGACTAATTAATTAATCAGCTGATTGTTCCAGATCCAAAGCACACACCTTCATGAGTTCCCTTCATTGGGAGCCTCACACCTAAAGACGTCCTGCCTGCTTGTACGAGGTTACAACAGAGCACAGACATCTCAACTGTTAAAGATCATTTTTTTTATTTGCCCAAATACTTGAACTACAAGGACATAAGAACACCCTCAGCTATAGAAAACACCAAATTGTCAAATGATCAGCAGTACAAACTTGTAAAGCTTTGCAGTCTTAGATATCTCTATAAACCAACATAAGGGAGAGAAGAAACAACTTAAAAACAGGTGAATTAAACCAAAACTTCTCCCCTGTGAGTGAAAAACTCACTGGCCTCAGAAGTCACAGATGAGGGTTCGCCAAATTAAAGCACTAACAAAACGATAAGCACTCGATACAAAAACAGTATTTACAGGAAAAATTACAACAGTTTTTAACCCCAATTCCCCCGGCAACTCGGCTCCCCGAATCCCTTTACAAACTCCCATCTATCAATATCAGCATCACTTTTCCTATTCTCTCCCCGAAATATTTAAATAGTCCACGCTGGTTTATGTTTCAGACAGGGATGAGACTCATAATGGTCTAAATGAGTCCATTACTAACAGATTGTTACTAGTTGCCACGCATCCGTTTGTGGACCCACAATGACAAGTCATGGAAGTCGTGTCGTTAGTCCGTTTTCAACCAACGACACGGAAATTTACTAAAGACCTTTGGGGGGGGGGGGGGGAAAGATTTAACAATATATCTACATTCATGTATTGGTATGACGTCCCCACACAGGACCAGACATGCACGCTGCAGTCACATCATGGTATGCAACATAACGGTAAAAACAGCACACAGTAAAGCAAAGAAACACTCACACCCTCATATATACACAGTTCGGAGCATGCATGCACGCAAACTCACGCAGAGGGACAGATTTACATTAAGTGCACACGTTTTTGGGATCAAGCATCGGACTAAAACCCAAAATGGATTACAGTCAATACCATTAGAAATTAAAAACAAAAAAAATAAATGATGAAAACCATTCAGTTCGACATTCACAAAATGATTCCCGACGGATCAGAAGTCAACTGCTCACAATTAAAAACAAACCCAATGACGATGCAAATAAACTGTAAACAAAACAACGGTTCAGAGAACTGTACGACGTATTATTTAAAAACAGATTGCGCTCCATGTGTGGAAAACGAGCGAAATCCCTTCAATGACAAACTGCTCTGGTCACACAATAAACACTGTCCATCACACCTTTCAATGACAGACGCATGGTGACGGATCCTACAGCGCCTACAAAAAGTATTACACCGTTTGCTTTACATGTCTGAAACACAATGGATGCAATCAGGTGTTTTTGACCATCAACAAAACAAATCTTCACAAACTGATCTAAATCAAATCCTACAATGTAAAACTAAAACAATTGATCCCAAAAGGTATCGACTGGTGCAGACAAATGTTTTTAATAAATTGAATTGAGATCACTTATGTGATATTAAAAGTGTGACTCCTGTATCTGCAGAGCACTGTACGGTCATTCATTAAACAAAGAATATGGCACAGCTGTAAATCTGCTTAGAGCAGGCTGTGTCGGTGCAAGAAGCACATTAGTCCAAATAGACTCATGGTTGTAAGTGGTGCCAAAGATGCATTTATTGAACGTTTAGGAGGGTGAACACTGCTGTAATCAAGAGGGTTATTTTTAAACGTGCACTTGATTTAGATACATCTGTAGAGATTGATTTGTTCCGTCAGCTTGTCGGCGTCTTACTGAAAGTTCGATCGGTCTGCTACACCTTTAAACGCCTCAGCTGGTTGAGGTCGGGTCTCCCCTCAGTTCTCACCCTAAACTTTGCGGCGCAAAGACAAGTTTTTGTTAATGAGTTTCAAAGCCCATCCACTTTAGTTCGATGTCGTAAAACAATAAAACATGAAAAAGTCCAAGAGGGGGGGTGAATACTTTATATAGGCACGGTCACCTTTTAAATGAGAACATGAGTAAGTAACAGCAACAAAAAGACATTCATAATGGCTTTGATTTTTTTCCTGAAAAAATACCACCTCTTTAAGAACCAAATGATAAAATCTACATCAGAAAATTTAGAATAGAGAACAAAAACAAATTTAAAGGAAACATTCTGAAGAGTGCAATTTTTCGGTATCCTGCACCCCCCCTGTCGATCCCTAAAGTGATCCACCGTACTATGTTCTTTGGCTCTATGAAGCCTGTTACAACGCATGTCTTCAACTAATCACCAGAATAATAAAACTAAACACTGGCAGGTAATGAACTTACCCTCAACATTAAAAGCCTAACCTTAAACCATTGAACCTGTGAGTCAAGATTGAAACCAGCGGCAGAAAAGTTCACGACATCACCAAACCAGTGGGATGCTGTTTTTGGCATAACGTCAGCGGCCCGTAATGTGAGAGGACCGTCTCGCACCGGGGGAGGGAAGGAAACTGATTTTGGACATAAGGGCAGCGTCCCTCCATGAGTAGACCACCAACTGCAGCGACATGAAGTGTGATGTGAATGAGGCGATGCGGGGGCTCCCTCTGGTGGGAGGAGAGCGGGGTTGGCACAGTGGCAGAGCTCCCTCGACTCCTTGCTCAGCTCAGCGCTGCTCAGTTCGTCTCACGAAGACGTCGGCCCGGTTCAGTCCGAATCAGAATCCGACGACCCCTGGGAATTCGATTCGCTGCTGCTGTCCTCCGACTTGTTCTCCTTGTCCTCCGCCTCGTCGTCATCATCATCGTCCTCCTCCTTCTTTAAACAATCAACAATGAAAAATACATACATTTGTTTAGCACTGTCGACTTCCACTTCTTGTCGCCGACTGCGCGTACTGAAAGACAAAACTCACGTCGTCGTCGTCGTCATCGTCGCTGCTGCTGCTGGATGAATCTGCGTCAGAGGAAGCCTTCTCCCGCTCGTCGTCGTCGTCGTCTTCGTCGTCCTCCTCCTCCTCCTCCTCTTCCTCCGTGTCCTGCGGGAAGAGAGGTTTTTTTTTTAGGTAAAGCGGACAACATCAACACATGACACCACTACAGCTGATTTATGAGACAAGAATAAGGAGGAGGAGAGTCTGCGCTTACAGATTTCTTGGCCTTTGCCTTGGGGCCTCCTGGTTTCGCTGTAGTTCTTCTTTTCTGAAACATCAACAAGGTAAAAAGTTTCAAACACCCCAACGTCAGAGATAAGAAAACCTAAAACATGACAGAGCTGCAGAACAATTTGCACGGCACTGAAATAACTGACTTACCTGCGAAGTATATTCTTTATAGGTGTTTCTCTCTTGTGAAGACAAACTCTGTGGAGGAATGACAGCGTATGTGAGACAAGTCCAGTGCCCAACATGTCTTGAGACCCCCTCCCCACCCCTTCCAAACAACCACTTCTTACAGCGAGCCACTGCTCCAGCAGGCCTTTGTACTGCCTCTGCTTCTCCTCAGCGATCTTCTTGTAGCGATCCTTCTCCTTCAGCGTCAACCTCTGCCAGCGGCTGCCGATCTCAGTCATGCGCTCTTTCATCGGGAGGTGATTCAGCTCACCGTTGGACAGCATCTCCTGAGAGAACTTCTGATATCCGTTTCTAGATGAGTCAAAAGCAAGCGGACAACCACAACGCTAAGTTTTTACGAGAACACACACACCAGGCAGCACAGACAGGATGGACGTGGCAGACTTACGATGGCGGCTTCTTAGGTTCACCCTCAAACTTCATCTTCTTCCCTGAGGCAATGGCAGCAGCAGGTGAGCGCATCTCACACAGGTCTCTCTGTGGAGGAGACAGTTGTGAGCTTGTACTGTTACACAGATGTTGTGGAGCCCTCCTGGACATTGTAAGAGGTACTTACCTCGTATCTTTTCTGGTCCTCGGCTGCCTTTTTGATCCACACGATTTTCTCTTTTTTCTCCATGGTGCTCCAGGTTGCTTCCATGGCTTTCTGTGCCTTCGGTCGGTCACTCTGCAAAACACAGGTTCACATTGAATGCACTTGTGGAGAGTATTTTATGTGCATTTTCCAGCAATGTTATACAGCTGCAGTTCATTACTTAAAGCAGTGTGACTGTCATTATCATCAGGAGGATAATGAAGAATAATCAAAGTTAAAGAAAAGTGAATAAAGATAAATTGTCTGGAACTGTACACCCTATTATCTAGGCACTAGGAGTGATGCATACCTTAAATCTGGCCAGGTAGTCTCCTATGACGCTCTGCTGCCAGATGTCCTGAGCAGTCTTTGGAGGGTCCGGCAGACGACTGCGATCCTCCTTCTTCTCCGACTCTGCCTTCAGGATCGCTTCCATGCGTTTAAACTTCTCCTAAATGGCCAAGACAACAAGATCAGTCGAACATTAGAAGACAATGAAAACATATCGGTATGATTTGCATCCTGTGATCCACTCAATTGTTCCAATGTGTCTTTATTACATTACCTTCTTCTTTTCGGGCAGCTCATTCCACATGCGAGCCAGGAGTCGTGTGAGCTCGCTGTCAGAAAGGTCCGACCGCTCCTGCTGCAGTTTGGGACGCCTTTCCTCAGAGAAGATGAACATGGCTGAAATCGGCCTTTTGGGTTTCTCTGGATTGGCCTACAGGTTAAAAAGAAAGGGAACATCAGAAAGCACACTACAACTACATCTAATTAACTATTCAAATATCAATGCAATACTAATATTTTACTGTTTAATAGTACGAAGAATCAAACATTTAGGGGATGCGACTTGAGCTTAGCAAAAAGGATTACCTTCGCTCTAGAGGCCTTCTTTTTGGCGGCAGGACTGTTGGCTCCGCCCCTCTTAAAACCTAATTTATCCTCAGATAAAACCCGGTGTTGCTCCTCCTCTGACAAGCTCTACAGATCCATAGAGCAGAGACAATACGCGTGAGAAACTCTTGCAGCAAAACATATAGCACACGAATGACATTGGCTGCTGCAACAAGAACACATGTCGGAAGTAGAAACCAAAAATTTGACTTACGCTGAGAAATCTGTTCATGTCAATTTCAAAATCCTTCTTCCTCTAAAAAAAAACAAACATGACATTTTTAGACACAATTTAAGTTTTTCATTTAAAAAAAAAATAATTATCCAACTTGATGAAATCTGGACTCACCTGTTCACAGCGTTTCTGGTAGGCGTCCTTCTCCCCCTGTTTCAGCAGCTTCCACCGCTGGCTACACATCACCATACGCTCTGTGCTCGGTACGTCCTTCATGCTCGACATCAACTCCGCACAAAACATCGAGTAACCGTTTCTGAGAGCACATAGACATCATGTTCAAATAACTCACTCACAGGGCAGCGGCCACGCAGATGTGTCGGTGTGTTTGCAGCTGTGACTCACGGAGGCGGTTTGTCGGGTCGGCCGTCAGATTTGTCTTTCAGGTGCCTCTCGGCCTTGGTCAGGGTGGACTTGACGATATCCTCCTGGGTCATGTTTAGCTCCGGGTGCTGCTGGATGTACTCCCGCATCATCCCCTACAATATTACAAACACAGTTAACACCGAAGACGTCGCTGCAATCTATACTCTATACTCTACCACAACAGCCCTTGCACCTCAGCAACATATTACACACCACGGTAGTCTCACCTGGTACAGTTTCTGCTGCTCCAGAGACTTGGCGATCCATTTCAGTCTCTTCTTGTCAGAGAGCTGCGTCCACTGTTTGCCGAGACTGTCCTTAATGTCTTTGGTGGTCGCCTGGTGTCAAACACGTAAAAGTTAACACCCATCACATCACGCAATTGTGCCTTTTGTATGTTGTGTTGTAAATGTCTGGACTTACATCCGGGCGTGTCTTGAGGACACCCTTCTTTTCGTGGTTGTACCACAGCTGTTGGGGTGTTCTGGGCTTCTCTGGTACATTTGAACCTTTCTTGGTCATGCTCTCCATCAGGTCCGGGTGCAGTTCTCTTCATTTACACAACAGTTAAGCACAATTATCATCTGTAAGTATGCTGCAGGTGCTGCCCAGGGCTAATAAAACATAATTATAATTCATTGTAACACGCAATCTTACCTGAACTTCATCATGCTGTGCACAAATGTTTCTTTGTCTCGTAAGAAGTCCTCTACATACTTTTTCTGCACCCATGAAAAGAAAGAAAACAAAGGGTGAATGAAAGACAATGTTTCTGTTAGAAATGAATTAGATCTGAAACAGAATCAAATGTATTTCGGCTGCACCTAAGAAGCCTTTAACTGACCTTCTTCTTTTCAGGCAGCTCCCTGTACTTCTTGGAGAGGATTTTAGTTAGGTCTAAGTTGCTCATCTCTGGGTGCAACTTTGCGTATTTGGCCCTCTTTTCCATGAAGAATCGGAAGTACGGAGTCAGGGGCTTCTTGGGAAAATCTGGGTGTTTCTGTTTATCATGGGGAAAATAGTTAAAAGTGAAAAGTCTTAAGAGTTATAGTCATAACTGCTCCATGTTCGTTAGTTGAGTAACATGCATGTTTAACTCACCTTTATCTTTTTGCCCTTGTAAGGGTTATTGATGTAGTCTTGGGCATCAAATATCAGTTCTGTCAGAATCCGGAATTTACGAATCTGTGGTCAGAAAAACATCAAAAATTAAAAATCAAGACACAACACTGGGCATCGAACAGACCAAAAACGGACTGTTGCACAATCCATACAAATACTACGCCACTCCAACAGCCTCCAAATACAAACTTAAACCGACTCACCCCTTTCGAGACCTCCGTCCACTTCAGCTTACACATCTCTGCTGTGAAGGAATTAAAGGCCACCTTCTGCCAGTCGAGGTGGGACTCTGATGTTTTGTATTTAGTCAGGTCTTTCTGAGGCAGGGCCAGTTTCATGGACTCAAGCAATTTCAAGAGGTCCTCCTGCGCCCACACTGATTACACAACAACAAACAAAAGGGCACAAAAATGATAAATCTGCTCATCTGTCTAACACTAGCTATAACATCCTCGTGTTTGTATCAATGATGTCCAATTGGGCTATCCTATCCATGTAATTAAAGTGATCTGTAAAGTACATTGATATATTAATATAGGCTTATTAGACACCGTTTTTTATAATAGCAGATGTATTATTATTGTGAAAGTGTAAAGAATGTTTTTTTTCCATACATGTCGACATCCCACCTTTGTCTTGGGCGGCTGCCTCCATTTCCCCGTTCATTTCTGGATGTACTGTATTGGATCTACAAAAAGCAACATTAAAATCAAGTTATATAACACATTAAATCAAACAGAGCAAAAAAAAAAAAATGTTGCATACCATGTAGGTTAATAGGTGCGTCTGTTGGACTACTACTTCTCCTACAACCACAAAATTGTATTATATTAATATGTGTGTATCATAAATAAGTGATTTGTCTGTGGTATAAAGAAGTAAAACTGTGAGTGGTGGAATTTAAATGTGCCTGGGCATAATGGTTTATGTTCATTACACCGCCCCTTAAACGTTTACGCTGCATGGTGAGACATAGGCTATCGCTTGTGACGGCTTCAAATCTCAAATAACACTGCGGAGGGCTTCAACTAGCACAACTAGCTGCGGCAACACGACTCTCCCTCCGTCGAGCAGATTTTTGCCAGTCAGAATCTAACGTATTAGTCTTCTGCTTCAGTCCACAACCTAAAGTATCGTGAACACACGGGAGAGCGACCATTTTATCGCCCAGTCCGCTCGGTAATGGAGGCTTTTCTGTCGGAGGAGCGGAGGTTGGGGAGGATCCACGGAAGGAGGAAGCGAATGGACGTGGACGGACAGGCAGCTGTAGGCGACCAGCTGACCACGGGACTGGGGAATCTGCTTTCGGTCTCCGAGAAGAGGGGGAATGGTGGCTTGGAAGCACTGCAGCCAAATGCGCCACTCGGCAGAGGCGCCTCATCACCGATGGACGCGGATCTAGCTCCGCCATGCAATGCTATAATCTTCCCTTCAAATGTTTACTCAGACTTTGAGCGACGAAATCTATATCATTGTCGCTTACAGTTAATAAAATAAATGTTTGTAGAGTATTCACAGACCGATTAATTAAGTTTTGGGGCGTTCAACCTTGGGATTTTAGAAGAAACCCAGTGCATTCTTCAGCGAGGCGTATCCGAGCTGTGATCCAATGATGGCGGCTGCTCGTTGTTCGTCGTGTCCTTGATGGCTCACCGTGGCGTCCACGGCCTAGCTACACTAAAACAACCGATACCACCACAACGAAAGAGCCGCTATAACGGCCATCTGGAGCCGTTTTATCATACGTTTCTAAGAATTTCATGAAATAAAAAATATGGACGTTAAAATAAAACAGGGTTTTGAGGTATTACGACCAAGGGCAGCTTGGTACGCTAAATTAAGCTTAAATGTAACATTTAGAGCCATACATTTAAAAAAATGTTAACATACTACAAAACGTTAAGATTGTCGGCATTTACTAGTATCTCAGTTTCCTTGGGGGCAAACCTGGACCAAACGTTACCGTTCACAACAAATAATTGAAAACAGTTAACTGTTATTTTACCTACCAATAAACGTAAATTATTATTATAGTTGAGTCTTATTTTAGACTCAACCATGTTTTGTAAACGTTTTTTTTTTTTTAAAGAAATTATGTCCGAGATAAATGTCACGGTGGTGGGTTGGAAGGACTAACTTGCGGAGGCGCAGGAAGAAAGAAGATCATGGAACATATTTTTAACGGTCGACTGTTACAGGCTGCCTCGAGCGTGCTTACCGAAAGAGTTCAATGGTCGTTGTTTCGGCTACATTAATACGCGGTTAAACTGTAACATAACATACATTGTTGGCTATAAGCTCAAAGGAGCCCCGTTAACGTCGGAGACTGAGTAGCTTCACTGGCGCGACGAAAAGCTCCACGTCCGCCATGCTTCAGCTAGGCTCTACAAGGAAACCTACCGTGACAAGGTCCAATGGCGCACTACAAACACAGAAAAATACGGAGCTTAAAGCTAATGCCAGGGCGTCGCAGGCTCCCTTACCTCGATCCAAAAGCGTATAAGCGAGAACAAGAAGGCGGGTTCTCCGAGCTCGGTCGTCGGAGGATTCTGGGTTAGTCGGTGAGAGAGAGAGGGGGAGAGAGAGGGCGAGTCTCTGCACGGTGAGATATTAAACCGAGATCCCTGATGGCTAACCGAGAGAGGCGGCTGGCTGTTCCGCCAACAGCCGCATGGAGGTCTCGGCGCGGAAACCACCGTTAATTCCCCCACGCAAATACCCCGGTTACAGCACAAAAATAGTCGAGTTCGATGACGGGAACTGGCATAAAAGTATCGCTTCGTGTAATTTTGAGTAAATACCATATTTACCTCCAGGTCTTACACACAATTTCTTCCCCGCTGTAGAGGACAATAAATTCGGCTATGGCCGACGTCGTCTGTACCCCGCTACGGCGGTCGGTTTGTTTCGCTACTACAAAGCGGCTATCGACCGAGGAGCTTTATAAGTAAACAAAGGCAAACATTAAAGGTATATTTTTGCGGGTGAAGGCGCGAATTGTGGTTTGTTTATCGTTCACTTACACGGCAGCTGGAACCGAGTGGCTGTTTTGTTGGCGTACCTGTCTCTCGGCGTCGTTGTGGAGGAAGAAGGGGAGGGTTGAACGACAGCCAGCTCTGATCCGTCGGTCCCGGGCTCCAGTCCCCGCAGAGATGGTCCTTCCCCCCCGCCTCCATCTCACTCGCCGTCTCCCTCCACTCAACGCGCAGCAGCAGCAGCTCCTCTCTCTCCCCATCCAACCATTTCGTTACGCGGAGACATCCATTTTTTTCCCGACCTTGCACCGCTTGTTTCTTAACCCAACCGAGGGCAGTTTGTTTTTCCCTCCCGCACGTTAGAGCGACCATTTCTGATCTTCAGCCGAAGTTTGCGGACCGAATATTTTATCACGGAAGTTTCATGAAATCCCAAATTGTGCCAATGGTTATCTTATTCAATGCTACCAGCTCATCTGACATACCCCATTGATAATAATAATATAAATAACATAAAAAATATATATATTTTTAAAAGTTTATAATTTCTACTTTTCAACGTCAGATTTCCACTTTAAATATAACTATCTACTAGGTCTTCAAAGTAGCCTCCGTGTATTTTCACATTACTCGGCGATTCCTCAACTAGAGGCTGTTTGACAGCTTCATTTTGGCCCAGCATGTTGTTTCTTTTCAACTCCACCTTGTGTGTTTGTGGGCGGAACCCCCGGCTGTCCAATCCAGTCAGTGCGATGCAGGGAAAGTGACTTTCAGGCTCTCGGCCTTGTTAAACTGTGCTGCGTTCCCTTGCTATCGGAATTGTTTGCATCCTCTCACAAAGCGCATGCAGCACACAGGTGGAAGCTGATTTAGAAGTTTATATGAAGTGTTCAAATGCTCAATCAATAAAAGCAACAGTCAGTCACAATCTGTTAGTCTTGACAGTTTAAGACTTTGTGAAATGATATAGTGATACATAAAAACTGTTCAAATCCAATAAAGCGGACCTGTAGTAAGGTATTTTGCCGGTGAGCAGAATGATTTAACATTTCATGAGTTTTAAAAAGTTTTGAAATATTTCATAATGTAATTTTGTCTCTATTTATCTATATGATTATTTCTTTAATAATGCCGTATCTATTTATATCTTTGGCTCTTTGAGTATATCTGACACATTTTGATGTATTATTGGGATGTTTTAAGGATGTTTATGATTTAACCTTCTCAGTTCGTTTTTTTAATGCTGAATCTAGGCTTAATCACATCTGATTTAAATAAAAGATAATTAAAAAAATGTACATCTGAGTTCTCTTGTCCATGAACATTCATTTCTTATTTCAGGATAAAAGTATTTACAGCCATGTCTATGGTGTTTTCCAAGTAGGAGTATTGAGAAAGTGGAGTTTACTGGATAAACTTGAACGCAGCATGTAGCTGAGTGGCAGGCCCATAGAAATAAAATATCTATTCTGTCTCTATGGGCCTGCCTCTTGGTCCAAGTGAACACCCCACTCCTGCTAATTGGAGGATGAAATGATATAAGGGAGCTCTGAAGTGATGTGAACTATTGTAATTCCCAATGCATTAATAAAAAAAAGCACTCAATGGATGTTTTTATTTTTAATAAAGTGAAAATTCATCCAATCCAATCAAGCATGTACAGTGTTTCAAGCACACAAACACATCAACAGGCATAATAAGACACATTTACAAATACGTTTCCCCCTGATTATATCATCAGAACAACAATCAGCTCAAACGATTATACCTCATCATCAATTATCTACCTATTACTGCTCATCCCATTATATAATTGAAAGCAATTACACACTTAAAATTAGATGTAAGTGCATAACACATATTTCTATACACATCAGATATATCAAATAAGGCAAACTCAAGTAACACCATTTAAAACATTTTTTGGAATAGGCTACTGTATGGGACAAAGGCTGGTGTTATAATCATATTCAAATTCACGACTTTTGTTTGTGTGTGTGTGTGTGTAAATAGAGTGTGAATAGATCAGATTTGCTTTACTTAAATAGCAAACATTAAGTTAGGTTGAATCATATTATTATAACATGGGCAGATTTACAATACGGCAGCACTGGTAGTCACTTAAAAGCTATGCTGTAGTTATGCACTAAAAGAAAAAAAGGACATTATAAATTGATTTACCTCAGGTCTTAAGGGAAAATACTTTGCATTCAAAGAAATCAAATGTTTTTTCCTGGCTCATAAGATAACTCTATTGTTAAGTCTAACGTATGAATTCTAGAAAGGTATTTTTCCTTTAGAGATAAATAATAACAACAGAACAGAAAAGTTTTAAAACTATAATTGTTAATAAAGTCATTAACAATTTTAAAAGAACCTGATATTAAATGTTCATATAATTACTGTCAGTCAAGCATTGAGTGCATTTGAAAGTTTCACTGTAAATGAAACATTAATGATACGGTGTTGTTTATGGCAGTGGGGACTCATCGTACACATCCACCCCAGGTTCCTCCTCAAACGTCACTTTGCCATCATCTGCATCCAGCTGCAACACAAACACATCCAGTTGCAACAGTGAACCCTACACCTCAAACAACCCGATACTGTGTGCCTGAGATTGTAATAAATTATGCATGCAGGTACTTACGCATTTCATTTCCATGGCAGAGAAGAGTGTGCCGGTCATGAACATGCGCAGAGGGATGGTGAGGATGAGAACAAAAGGCAGCGCCAGAGAGAAGGGACTACTCTTCACCACCCACAGGACACCCAGGCACATGAGCTGGATCAGAGTGAAGAGATGCATCCGCCATGTCTTCACCTGTACAAATGTCAGCAGACGAGAGTGTTAACAGGGGAACATGAAGCCAAAGAAATGTGTAAATGCTAATTTACGTTAGGATGATTTACAGGGAGATTGTCATGGGCTAAAGAATGCTGAATTATAAGTGTAACAGTCTTGTGCATGGAAGGATTGGGTTTCAAGGAGTCAGGGGGGCCCTGGGCCAGAGCCTTTGTTCGAAGTGACTGTCTGGTTGGAAAGCTAAACAACTGCAAAGACACACAAAATGACCTCAAAAAGATTCATAATCACGAAGATAAGCTTAATATTCAAACTCTATATGCAAACTATTGTGTATATCTGTTTTAGTCTTTACAGCAATATAGTGCACAACTACTTGCAGATATATGAAACTGCATTTTCAGACATAAGGCTCTTCCACATCTTGGAATGTATTTGAGGAGGCTGCGTACCTTGGTGGCGTAGGCATCAGCGGGATGGTATTTCTTTGGTGTGATCAGCAGAAGCATCCTGTCCCACATCTGGATTCCACTCAGAGAGGTGATACCCATGTAGAGGAAGATACCGAACAAGGCTGTCATAGGAATCATCTTCAGAAGAGGCTCCATGAAAATAGAAGCACCTGGAATCCATAGAAAGTGAATGATCGTTAAAGGAAAATGCTAGTTTAACCTTAGCCTGCTGTGTCTGCACCGGCACTGTAGATGGCAGCACCTACCAACCATGATGGCCACAAGGATGCCACTGATCCTCTGCTCGAGCACCTTCTCGATCTCTGGTTTCGGGCCCTTGCTCATGACGGTGAGAGCATTGGCGTGGGTGACGGATCGCACAGTGGCAGCGCTCAGCCAGGGCACCCCGAAGAAAGAGGAGAGGCCCCCCATGATGACCAGGATGAGCAGATCGAAATGAAAACCGGACCCCTTCACCATCTTCCTTTCAGGTTTGCTCACAATCAGCCTGACAATCAGACAACAACAGAAAATCATTAGCTTCACATGATGTTGCAGACTGAATGCCATTATTCAGTGTGTCACTCACGTCGTAATCTGGGACTCCAGGAAGATGAGGATGAAGACTAGCAGTGCTGGTACACAGCTGGCGGCCATCATCCAGATGGGGAAGTTCTTCTTCTCTCCCATGGGGTTGATGAACCAGCCTCTGACTTTGGGGTTGGTCACCTGAATGCCTTTTGGCACAACCAGTTTCTACAAGAGGAGAGGATGCTTTTCATTCAGCTCATTTACCACCAAGAGACCACAGAAAGATAAATAAGCGTAGAAATGTTCTGCATCAATACTAAAATTACTTTCTGAACATACTTTGAGTTTAGTCACATTTCAGAGGGACAGAACTTTAAGAAGACTGTAACCAGGAACATAAACTTTACTCTTACAGGTAAGAATGTGCATTTTACAAATATTTTTAGACAGACATGCCAATAAATTCCTAGTAAACATTTTGATTAGTAGAGTCAAATGAATGTAGGCGATGAGAACATTTTTATTTTCCAGTGTGTCCTGGATTATATCACATCAATCCACAAGGTATGTTATGTTATCCATAGTCAAGATCTGGACACTGATGTATATTATGTGAAACGCAAGGAATACCACAATCCACCGTTTTCTTAAATATGAACGACTTAAGGTTCAAGTTTATTTGTCATCAATTATAAAAAAGTATAGGCTCATATGGAATTTTGGTTGTTCAGGAAAAGGGCCTAAAAATAACCCAAACATCTATCGTGTATGAGTGCATCATAAACTTGAGTGCAAAAGGTATTTTTGTTAAGATAAAAAAAGTAAAACATTTGAATGAAATCAGATCTTTTGAAATAGAAGACCTACCAGGCCCCGAGGTGGAAATTACCATTCTTGACTGTAATGACATCTTAAATGTGCCATCTTAATAGTTACACTTCTTTATTTTGTCAATTGCCTTTGCTGTAGCTGCAAAACATTTTGCACATGATGCGAGGCTTATGATTTTTGTTGTTGTTTGTTAGATCGTATTTAAGATGACTCAACTCACCACGACGCAACTCTTACCTGGGTGTAAGCATCCTCAATGCAAATGTCCACAGCAATCATGAAGAAAATAGCAATGGGGACACCAAAGTCTCCGATCAAACGCCGGATCTAGTGAGACAGCAGGGTACGCCATGGTCAAAGTCACAGAACGTACAACGTCTTTTCAAAACGTCACAATCTCTGGACATAGAAAGTTGATCTTACCGGGCCGGGGAAGTAGTGACCATTCTTGAAATGGCGGAGGAAGTACGCAATGAAGAAGCAACCGAACATCAGGCACATAGACAGCAAGGCAGTGTTGGGGTAGGCCCTTTCAATCACCCTCTCGTGAAAGGTGACATTGCCTTCGTGATCGAACACAGAGTGCTCTTCGGTGACCGGGTGGAAGGGGTTGTCCATCGTGATGTTCAGATGATCGTAGTTCAGAATCAGAGGGTGGGTTTTGAAGATCTGAGCAAAAGGAGATGAGAAGTCAGAGGAAGCAAAATGAGACACAACACATGAGGCGATCGCGGGGAAATGGTGTCGGAAGAGGATGAGGAAACCTTGATGAGTTTACTGAACGTCTCATAGATGAAGATGAGAGAGATGAGGATGGAGAAGATTTCCTGAGTGAAGCGGGAGATGAATCTGACCAGGAAGCTGCCTTCCACGGCCACAATGATGACCACGATCACTATCAGCCACATCCCCACCCAGATACGGCCCACGATGTACTCAATGTTCTGGGCCTTGCAGAACTAGTATGGAATGAAGAAAGCAAAATAGATGATAATGAAGAAAAAAATAGCTGATGAAAGATTGAT